GGTCTCCCATGGTCTCTATAAGAACGCAGGACGCTGTGTAAGAAAATGACCTTAGAGCCGGTATTTGGAACTCCCGGTACTTGAGCGGTGCCACTGGCCTCTGCTAACAGTGGCAAGGTGGCAGCGATAAGTGAGGTGAACACGCGCATTCCGCAGGTCAAATGTGCGTTCCATCGAGTTTGGTAGAGTACAGGGGGAAGAGTTGTTAAAATTTCAATGTAGTTATGGGAGGTCTGGTCCGTGTGAGCTTCAGCCCTCTCGCTTCACTCATTGACAACTCTGTGCTGGCAGGTGCATGAAAAAAAAAAGCAATTTTGCCATAGGTTCAGCTGCGCAACTCCAATGCATACCTTGTTTCGCAGATGCGAAAATCATGCATATTTCATCACTAGTAAAGAGTGCATTTTACTATATATCATGAAACTAGGGGTGATGTATAGGGTGATGCCTTCCGCGCAGCCGCCTGCAGACGGAGCTATTGGAAAATGGTCGGCCGCAATTGTGTGTCGGCGTGTGCGTGGTCAGTTGACCGCTGTAACTCAAATAAGGGGCGGAATGCACCATCACTGTATTGTAATAATTAAATTTTTCGACGAGTTGTGCTCATTCGTGGATTCTTTACTTCTTTATAATGGCAGTGTAGCAGTAGTTGGAATGCCGTGGGTGTAATGCCCTGGGTGTAGTACACGAGCACTACAACGAGCATCAAGATAGACCGCTTGATCTCTAGTCTGCAAGGAAAGTGTAAACCGAGTTTATTTGTAGAAACAATCAGTTATTTTATACTGGAAATAGCCGTTGAGAACATATAGTGCTCGCCAGCTTCCCGGATTTGGGGCCAGCGGAGAAGCCAAGCCGCGTCGCCGACGACTGATGGGTGGGGCGAAACCCCGAGATCAGTTTTTTCCTTCCTTCCCTTTCAGAAAATGGACTGTCGATAATGTTTAAGAATGGATTTTGTACCAGGGGTCAGCTTGGCGAATATCTGTTGCATGTAGCACCTAGGTGTAGGGTTTGCGCCTACTTATCGGTACTGGGCGAACTGTTCACTACACTGGGGTTCAGCAGGGCAGGCCAGAAACACTGAAATATCCGTAACCTAGGGCGTGCCTTATATTTTCACGTACGATAATAACATGCCAGCTTTATGACAGGTGTCAGGCGTGCAAACAACAATAGAATCCAGGCGAATGGCCGTGACCGCACTCTTGATGTAGCATAACGTAGAGCCGGAGCTGTAATGACCTCAGGGTGTTCACTTAACTTAACCCCTGACAAGTTACGTACTCAGTTGCGCTGGATCTACCGTAACGGAGGATTTTAGCCAAAATTCAGTTCAAGTAAAACGTATTTCATCGTTTTTCCCGTTCAAAGAACTGTTCCCACGCGGGCCCTTGCCCCTTTCCTTTGCAAACCCACAAGGGGCTGTGTAGTGCGCTAGCACTACAAGCAAGTGCGGTTACTATAGAAACTTAAATTAGCGGAGATAAAGACAGAGAAAGGGAAATAAGTACGACCTAAATTACGAATAAAAGCTAATGCAGAATAGTGTAACGAATAGGTCAGATCAATTGCTAAAGTAGAGGACTTAAGAGCGAAGGAGGCGCCGGTGCAGCGTTGCCGGGTCGGCCGTCCCCGCGACTAGCGGCCCGACGAGGGATTGATAGCGGAAGGTCATGGGCCTAAGGGGGGAGATATTTTTTGAAAAGGATAAAATTTTAAAATCATTTTCTGTCGAACTGGAATTTTGAAATATTAATTGCTGGTTCTTGAGAATTTTAATGTAAAACTTGACTCATAAGGAAACACGAAAAGTAGACTACTCAGAGGTCATTACAGGCTGCTTGCCGCGGGGTGCGACCGTCCCTGGCTACTATGTGCTGGCCCCCGTTCTCCCCTTAAGTCTGCTACTTTGGTAACGCGTCAGCTCTACTTGTTATATTAGGCTAAATAGGCTCGGATTAATAGTTTCCGTCATACTTATTTCGTCCTCGCTCCTTGTATCTTCTAATTTAACTAACCGTAATAATAGCATTTACTTGTAGTGCTAGAGCACTACAACTTCCCCCTCCGGTCGAAACTTTAGGTCCCCTTAAATACTTATGTTCCCTCCGCTCTAATTCCCCACCTTACTCCTGTGCTATCTCCTTTGCTCACGTTTATCAGTGTAACGTTGTCTCCCGGTCGAGCACCTTCCAACTTTCTTTACGCACAGAGATAGCTAGCATCCCGTTCTCGTCGTTATCTCGCACTCCAACTTCTCTAGCCTGGCTAACTCGCAAGTGGTGCAGCAACATGCACCACTCCTTCCCCCCCCTTTGAAACGCGAGAGTAATGATCCAAAGCACTGGTCCTATAGGATAGGTGCGCATAACTAATCCCTGCGGCGCACCTGACGAGACCTTACTTTATTATAGTAGCGGCGCCAGGCCCTGAGTAGAGCAGAACAATTGGTGAGGTTAGACGCTGGCTCTCAGGTAGCGCGGTCTTCTGGAGCCCCCCTCCACTTAACCAGATACTGCACGTCCTTGCCTGAGCCCCGTT